ATAATGAATAAATGTCCTTGCCTTCCTGAAACCTTCCACGACACCTACACCTTCTTATTAAACTCAGACATCCACAACCACTTTACACGTCAATGCAATTATTTAAGGCCATCCAATGCGAAATCGAATCTTCGTCAATTTACAATCACGTACAGAGGCCCAACAATTTGGAACAACCTAAGTAGAACTTTACAAATTAGTCCCTCCGTCACCATTTTCAAAAATCATATTAAAGCAACTTTCATAAATAACCCCACACATTCTTAATTTTTGTTTAAGTTTCCTTGTTTACTACTTTTCATTACTACTTTTCATTATTGTAGATAGTATTGTATCGTATTGTATTTTATTGTTTTGTTTCATTTACCCGTTACCTAGTAAGTTATTTCTTATTTATCCGATTAATTTGAATTGTTAATTAAGTTATGAAGGGAGGCCTCCTCATAAGCATTTTATGCTTCCGGCCTCCCTGCACTGTCACATTTCATTTATATTTTCTTGTGTCTGTATTTTGTTTTAAAGTGCGAATAAAAACTGAACTAAACTGAACTAAAGAAGATAAACACTCATTTACTATCTTACAAAACATCCAGTGCACAGTAGCTGTTTTGATTATTGAGGAAATTGGAGATATTGGTTATCCTACCCTAAACACTGTAAATTAGTTTTGCTGTGTGTGAAAGGTGTTCAGCACCAAGGACAGGCTACGGTATGGCTAAAGACCTCAACCGACATCAACCGACCACACCCGACCTCAACCGACGGCGTCAGGGCCCTTATCATGCAGTATATATATTGCAGAAAGTTCGATAATAACACTGAACAAATCTTACCAACAATAGATTTATACTTAGTTGAATCAACCTTACCTTATGGAATTCTGATATCTGTTTACGCATTTATGTGGAATGACAATAAACAAATAAACAAAACATTATATGTTACATGTAAAAAGATGACAGGGTAGTGTATACTAGTACTAGAGCGTTCGGAAGTCGCTGTTCGGCTCTCGGCAATCTTCGGTAACAGTTATATGTTCGTATGGTTCTTTGGAATCCTCGTCAGGTTGTAGACCGAGTTCACAGACAGTGTGAGTTATGTGTATGATTCTCGGGAATCTATCAACGGACCGTGTTCATGGTGTTTGTGTTGGGTGTATGATTCTCGTGAATCTTTCAACGGACCGAGCTCACGGTGTTTGTCAGAGTGTATGATTCTCGGGAATCTTTCAACGGATTATGTTCATTCCTTGTGTATATTGTAATTGCAACGGACTGAGTGAGTACATATATATTACATAGTGTATGTTATAACATTCGCAAAACAATCAAGATGTAAAATAGTTTTTAATGGTTTACAAAACAACATAGTTTTCAACAAAAACTCGGTGGCCTTGCGCCTGTGCTCTGAACACTGGTGCATCATCGATACCACCCACGGCGACCTCTGACCGCTAGCGTCATGGTCTCCATGGCGACGACTCCGACTCAGGTGTGCAAGGCAAGATGGCGGCTGCAGCCAGAGAGAGAGACCGGGAGATTGAGATGGCGGTTCCCAACTGTTTACACTGGAGCTGCGAGGATGTCGCCGACTGGATCGAGCAGCTCGGCTTCCCACAGTACAGGGTAAGCGCTGGACGGCTTTTAAACCTCATATAATTTGAAACAGTTGTGTTATATATGCAAGTGATCTCAGGTGCTATCTGACACATAACGGGTTGTCGTTAAAGGTGCCCTAAGCGATATCTGGCCGATAGTAGGCTCAATTTCAAAAGTCTGTCTTTTTGTCACATTTTCACGTAGTATGTTGAATCAACCCTATCCTATTCCATACCGATAGTCATGGAGCAAAAAGTCGATGCCGCTTTCCCGTACGAACGCCGTGAAAAACTACGTTTTATTCTCGATGGTTGGCGGTTGTTGCGTCTTTCTATTGTAATGTTGAAGACTGACGCCGATGTGTATTTGGAACCGTCCATCGTCTTGCTGAATTCTATCACAAAATATGTAGGCTTCCGTAACTTGTAACTGCTTACACTAACCTGGTTACCATATAAGCGCATGGCAACATATCCCAGGCAAGGAGTATGATGCATGTCTACTTACAGTTTGCTCTGCCAGTTGGTAAAAGTACCTTACCAACATTAAAAAAAACGTAAATGACATCTTTCAAAAGCAACATTCAACTTATTACACAGTGTTAATAAAATATTTTGACTGTCCTCCTTATTCTATCTCACATCTACACAAGTTTTAGCTTCATACTGGTGCCGTATGTAAGTTATGGCATGGAATCATTGCATAATTTATCCTATCCCTCTACAGGAATGCTTCACTACAAACCTGATCAACGGCAGGAAGCTGATCCAAGTGGACTGTTCCTCCCTCCCCAGACTGGGCATCACTGACTTTGAACACATGAAGGTCGGTGTGTTTGGTTAGAATGTTCATTAGGCCTAAGAAGAAAAAAAATGTTTCCTGTTTCCCGACCGACCCTAGAAAAAGTTTTTTGTGAACCCCTGCAAGTGACATAATTTTTTTCGAGCTTTCTAACTTTGCTAACTCTATGATCTGACACCCGAGTGCTAAAGTGTTGTGGCATTGGTTTTCCAGCATTGACAATGTCCTAATGCAAGATCTATTGTATAAGTTGGATCACTAGAGATCGCCTATGTCTTAAAAAAGGAAACAAGAAAAAAAGATAATCCCTACCTACCGACCCAAATTTTTTTAGGAATGAAACAGGAAAAAACTTTTTTCCCAGGCCTTATTTTGTTCTGTTTTATTTCAGATATGCTGTCTTTTATATCAGTACTAAATTTAACTCAGAACTGACAATGATACTGATGACGCGTGTTCCTATTCACAACAGCTGATTGCCCGCAGCGTACGCGAACTGCTCAGTATCGAAGAACCGCGGTGGGACCGCAGCATCTCGCTCCACCCCCGCGAGCCAATGGGCATGTTCTTGGAGAGGAAGAGCAAAACAGGAAAAAGAGCAGACAACCTCACATACGCTGGGTTCCTCAAGGGGAAATAATGGGACACTTTGAACATAGGGGACACAAAGGGAGAATTCAATACGAAATGTTGCAGATGTCAACTTTTTATTTGCAGTATGGAGACGGTATTGTACAATCTCAATCTTTCAATCTCAATCTTTATTCATTAAGGAACTTGCGGGCAACACACCCGAATTACGTCCTTGTTACACCAGTCACATTAACAACATTTACATTTTAAAACGAATCATCACATAGGTAAAATCTCAATATTAAAAACATCACAAATAACATGTCACAGTTAAACATATGCTGTGCATGGCGCGATTACCAGATGTCCAATTACTCAGTGCTAATTGTCTTGTTGTAAAGACGGATTGCGCAATGGAGGAAAGAATTTCTTAGTCTCTCAGTCCGGGCCCTTGGTACACTGATAGTGCTAGAGTTTCTAAGTGTCCGTCCCGTGGCACCAGACCTTGAGGGCGGTACTAGGTCATGTAGAGGGTGGTTCTCCTGAAGCATGCGTTGGAGCAGGTGTACTGCCGCATCTTCCCTCCTCGACTTCAGTGTGGGCAGGTCAGGCACGCTACGCCTTCCTCCCAAGGAAATGATACTCAAGGCCCGGCGCTGGACCCTTTCGATGGCCAGTTCTTGCTCCTTACTACACTACACAAAGGTTTATACTGTTTGAAACGAGGGTTTAAGTTAAATACTTTTTGAACTAACAAGAGTAATACAATTAATACTAGTATTTGACGTGTGGAAACAGATCTTTTAACTCTATATACTATTTGAATGAAATGACAAATTAATATAATACATACAGAGCTATTCAATGATGTGAGGGTTAGTGTTATTCTGACACTGGAGAGCAAGACTTGTGAAAGAAATATTATGTGCCAACTAATTGACAAGCCATTTTACATTTGTATGAAAATACCATACTGTATCTTAGAACCTGTAGACATCATTTTTGAATACTTAAATAATATCAATACAATTCTATAGCATTTACAGATTAAGTTTCTTTCAATATTTCATACATTACGCCAACTTTTTTGCCTGGCCCTCTATATTGTATCTTACACCATGTAAGCGAAATCTGTAGATTTCTAGACTTTTTAAAGAAGTAGCACTTACAACTAGAAAGGCCAATATTTGCTTTGGAGCAAATACAGCGATGGGTTCACCACATTTTACGACATGGCAGGGAAAGAATGAGAAACACAAGGGAAAACAATGATTTACATTGATATAACTATAATATGAAGTAAAATACAACTAAAACAACAGTTGGATAGCTATTCCCTACTTTATTGGTTAGGATTTTTAATTGCATAATGCAAACTGTTGATTTTCAAAATAAATAAAAAACGTCCATGCCCGGCATTCCAATGCTGGAGCAGGAAAGCTTGAAATACCTACCAAAACACTTGAATACAGACATACTGTCAGTATGGAAATGCTTCTGTGCAGGTGTTAATCAAGTTAAATCCCAACAGCCAATCAGCAAGAAGTATAGAGGAAAGCTGCATGCCTATTGGTTGATGCCCTGCATTCCATTGTGATGACTCATGCCCAAACGTGGTAAACAAGGCCACTAACACAGTAATACATTTGCTATAACACAGCCAAAAAACTCAAATAAAACCATTCTAAAAGCCTGTATCACAATAATTTAAAAAACGCCTAGGGGTATTTGCCCACTGTACCTCCATACCAAATTTCAGGACCTTGGGCCCTAAAATGAAGAAGCTGAATCCATTTAAAAAATGGCAGGAGAAGGAGGAGAAGAGGGAGAAGAAACATCAGAAAAAGCAATATGGTTTCACCACACCACTTCGTGGTGTGGTGAACCCATAATGACATTTTGTGACTGAATGTTGGCTACAAAATAGTTTCATCAGCTTTCAAATGATCCACGTTTAGTGGCTTAACTATTGCAGATACGCAACAAAAAGAAGGAATTATCTTATGTGAATCAATTGCTTTGTGTACAGTCAGGCTTGTACATAGGAGTGTAATTTTGATATTATAAGTAAAGACTTCTTTTTGATAATCTAGCAGGAGGAGTGTCATTTTGAACTTTTAAGTTAAGACTTTTATGATAATCCTATGGAGCATTCTGTGTAGTCTGGACTGTAAGTTTGCCTTTTTATCATGCACCATATGATACATGTAGTTTGTTTCCATGCCACAATATTTATCAGTAGGTAGAAATCACTGTTGTTTGATCTTGGCCAGCACTGCTGCTCTCCTGTCAGTATTCTGGAACAGAGCTCTGACCAGTCCGCGGACTTCCATAGCTGTGAACTCATGCCCCAGGGGGCCCTAGGGGGACACAGTCAACACAGTTCAGTTACTGGTAATCTAACCAAGAGTTAAAGAACAACTACAAATGCTATGAACATATTTAATTCTGCTGGAAACTGCATGTAAATTTGTCGCACTTCCATCTAGTTTCCTAGAACGGCTGATGCACCCGTACATTTATGCATATTTCTATTGGTGGGGGATAAAGCTTTTTTTTCTGAAGTAAACTGCCAAATCTAAGCACTTCATAGTATTTAATAGTGACAGGAATTACTGAAAATACACTTGTGGTGAATATGTATTAAAAAGAAATATTTTGCATTACAACAGATTTTGACCAATATGATAATATTCTAACATTTTTCATGCTGGGTAGAATATGGACAGGAAATATCATAGTTTTTCAAGGATTTGTTTCTTGAGAATCTTAATGGTAAATCATATTTGAAGAGAGCAAAGATCATGGTCCGTACCTTGCCATCTGCCCATCTGTCAGAGATGTCCTGTAGGCTGGCGTCCAGCATGACCATCAGTTCACTGAACTTCACCCACTGGGGCACGTACAACTGGACCTCTGCCTCTACAGCTTTCTTACTGCATACACACAGAGAAACAGAACCTCGTCAAGCTGGGCTTTCTCTAGCAATCTGTGCTGTTCACTAACAGCTTGTTTAGAGAGGTACATATCAAAGATGTATCGTCCAGGTATAAAGCTATTTTGTGAATGAATGAATTTCTTTATTTTGGGCATGCTGACCCATAAAAACACTGTACAGACACAAACGCACAAGTAAACTGGACACAACAATTCACACAGTTAAAGAAAAGAGTTTCTGAACAGGTAATCTAATTTCAGAAACACTGTATTACAATGTTGCAATCATTCCAATTCTTTAGACAATTAACTATCTTTTCCTGTCGTTCTACCAACATTACAAGTTACTTCCTGAAAACCCAGAACTGTTTCTGTGTTAGGTCTAAGAACACACAGGACCATACATGTAGTTGAACAGAGTGGAAGAGAAAGCAACTTTAGCCTACTAGCCATACTTTTTGGTGTCCTCTTTGACAACAGGGTGGAACAGTAGAGGAGCCCTCTCTTTGACAATATCACACAGAGAGTGGAGCTGGGCTGCATCATCTGCAGAGATGTCCTCCAGGGCTGTCACTTTACCTGGAGGGAATACACAGGATTGGAGACTTGTATTCTGTTGATGGCTAAGCTTCTAATGGTAGGGGAAAGAATGTTCGATTTTACAGAATTGGAAGACAAGAAGTGTGGAATGTCCCAATTTGTAAAGAACTTTCTCTAGGGAAGTTGGCATACAGTGTCTTCACTCAGTCTCAGTATCAATGGTTGAAGCTGGCAGGTCCTAGCCGCCATGTTGGTATCCCTATTTGCCTTTCCATGTACGAAGAATTTTTGTGCTTCATAGTGCATAAAGCATCCTTCTTGTATTATCTTCTTAGTGTTTATCCGAGAGGGTGAGAAGAATAAAAATGCTTGAGCTACAGTTCACTTAAATGCAAAGAGGGACTATGGTAGCAGACACAATACTGATGTCATACATGAAAATGCTTGTACTGTAACTTTCAAATTTCCTCTAATGTACCTGAAGTCATTTTTATTACTTTGGCTTTAAGTTATACATTATTTTGGAGAAACCTTCTGTGGAAGCCATTCTGACCTATAATGTCCTGTATGGCAGAGTTGACCAGGGAGCCCAGAGCCTTACAGTAGATGTTGGTGGGAAGTACGTCCTGCCATACCTTACTCAGGTGAGTCAACTGGTGCAACACCTACAGACAAGCAGAAACAAAACTCACTATCAATCTGCATTCGTTGTACCTAAAGTAATCAAAAACCATACTGACATTTTGTTACACCACCTCTATAAAATCATTGCTGAACATGCTAGTAGTAACTGCAAATGATAAATACCCCATATGATATTGACAGATGCCTAGAAAATTGATCAATCTATATACTTGTATACGTATACAAATATAGTAGGTTGGAGTGCACATAAGATTTCAGATGTTTTAACCGCTGACCTGTGGCTATCTTGTATCTTTGTTGACTTCTGAATATACTTAGAAATGATTAGATAGGACAATGAAGAAATAGGATTACAATGCTATTATCATCAAAATTCATCTGTGTTGGCAGTAAAAAGTTGAACTTTATTCCAACACAACAATACAGAGAGATTAAATTTTTAATGACTAATGTCGCCTTCATCAGGATGATTACTGACCAATCCCTTCTGACCTCACTTATCTGTAAAGTCTTGTGTGAATAAGGTCATGTGTCTGTAACCGTAACTCTCGTGTTCGGAAGTTGACAGGAGGTGACAGTGGTCATTGAAAATTTGATCTCTCTGTGCTCATTGTGTTGGAGTAGTCTAATTTTTACTAGTATATCACAATGCTGTTTTCTATGGAAGCAAAAAGAGAGAGTTCACAACCTTTTTGACAGCCTTCTCAGCGTTGCCCCTGTTGTAGTCCTCTGCGACGTTGGTGAAGTTGTGAGCTCCCACCAGGTACTCCAGGACCTGGTCCCTCTGGATGCGCATCTGTTGGAGCAGACACTCCGTCCCCAGCTCGCGCAGCACCGGGATCTGGTCTACAAACGTCGCGCAGGAGCTGGCCAGGGGCTTGGGCAGGTGCTCCAGAAACTGGTGGCCTGTTGGAACAGAACAACTGATTAGGTGTTACAGCAGGGCTTGAAATATTAAAGTGTACTTTATACCTAATGTTGAGTCCATTCACCTATTCACCTGAATATTCACTTGAATACTGGTTAATCGGTACCCTTTCCCAAGGTAATGAGGCTGACTCCATGTAGTTACTAGTAAGACACTATTGTTGCTGCTGGAGTCTATTCCAGACAGGGGGAACTCTTGTTGAAAAGAAGTTTGATCTGGGCCCGTTTGACTTCTTAATCTGGAATGTTCTTTTAGCTTACAAAGTATTTTTCTGCAATCTACACAATTTTTGCGATGAAATGACCATAACACAGGAACCTGTACTGAACTTTTGCATAGGTCATAAATGTCTTTCAACTACTATGCAGTTCTCAGTCAAATCTAGCTAATCATTATTTAGGCCATGTTGATTTGATTACTAGTATATGGATAACATCCACGCGCGCATGAATTTTCGGCCGTTTCCAAAAAAGAAAAAAAGTTTTCAACCATACTGTAAATCGTGCAAAACAGTTGCTAAATGAGCAAAAATATACCATAAGTTGCAAGGAAAACATTTAGAAACGATACCAATGTCGTAGAATGCCAAAATCAAAGGAAAAAAGACAAAAATGTAAAGAAATGAATTCGAAGAGTAGATTATTCGCCATAACATATTCTGTGCCATTTGTTCAACCTTCATGACCACGTAGATTTCATAGTGAAAGCAACTTTTTTTTTTTGCAAAACTTTTTTTTTATTCGCACGCGCGCATCAGTTTTGGGGTTCCCAGAGGATGTCATCCATATAATCAAATCAACATGGCCTTATATGGAAAAACATTACCTAGTGTGAGTAGGTGGTGTGCGATGTAGAAGCAGTTGTTATAATGGACGGCGGTCAGGTGGGGGAGCTTCTTCAGGTTCTCCTCGTGGTAACACGGCACCACTTCCATGAAGAGTTCAAACATGTCTCTCACCGCGTAGAACATCTGCACGGCGCAGCGCGGGTTGCTCGTGGTGACCTCGCAGGCCTCGCACAGCGTCGTGTACGCCAGTTTGACCAGCTTGTCTACCGTAACACTTATCCTGCAAACGGTAGGCGGAAGGGACACTGCAACTCCGGCATGGAGTCAAACGTTGCTTCAAAGGCAATGGTTGTTGTCTCCTCTGTTTGACCTTCGGTTTCTTCGCCGACTGCTGCCCCAGAAGCTCGCGAATGTTCGGCAGCGGAGCCATGTCGTCGCTGGTGCCGACTTGTACAGTGTCCAGCATCTCGGAGGTCATCAGGTCACGGGCGACAGCCAGGATGAGCTGACACTTCTTGTTGGCGAAATGGACGTTGATTTCCTTCACGTACGTCATGAGAGCCGAGTCTTCGCCGCGGAGAAAGCCGAGGTTTTCCAGCGAGGTTATGAACTCTCCCGTGGCGGTTATGACTTCCATGTACTTCTCGAGTTCTTGGCTGGTCCGGGGGATAGAGTGAACCAGACAACCCTTGATGATGGCCTGTGAGAGGTCGTCCCACAGAAAGTCACTAAACGTGGTCATCAGGCCACCGTCTGGCTTCCCCACGTCAATCCCAAGCAGATGCTTGTTGAAATACTGTAGAATGGTGTTGATCTTGCCATAGAGGTCTGTTGGGGTGATGGTTTGGTTAGTACTGCCGGACTGCTTGTCGAAGTGGAGAGCTTCACTCTGCATCATGGTCACTGCCTTCGGGTAGACGTTAGGCAGCAGTATGAGTGGGAGGAAGATGTACTCCAGGCACCGTCTGGCGAACACCTTCAGTTTCTCCTGCAGCACGTTCATGTCCTTCATGGCACGGACCAATGTAGCCATGCGGGGGGTGCCGGGGAGGGCTGCGTCTTCAGCAGTGACGGTCGTCAGCCGCAGCTCTGTCTTCAGCAGGCGTTCTTCGTCATTCAGATCCTTTCCCCGGGGTAGGTTCCACACCACGGCCCTGGCCCAGGCCTCCCCAAGGGTGTGGATGAGGTTTTCCTTGCGCACCCGGAGTTCTATACCCAGGGCAGTCAGGATCTTGAGCTCACAATAGCCTTCTTCCTGTAGTTCTTCCATGATCTGCTGAATCTGGGAAAGAAGAGAAAGAATTACTACATTGTTACATGCTTTTCCACGGTACAAAATGTACACATAGTCACATACCAGTAATTCAGTAAAACAAATAACAACACTACTATCTAAAAGTAGCATATTCTGAATTGGTCACAACACTGTTCCTTCTGGGTGCATCTTGGATCTCACAAATGGACCTCTTTCTTGGTTTTACAGCAGGTATGACCAATTTCTAAATTTTGGTGAGTCCCAGTTCATTCCAGCATCGGAGAAGAAGTTTTGTCTTTACCTCACAATTTCTAAGATTGAATTTTACCAAGTCACTCATAACAGCTAGTGATGACCACACCAAGTTCCTAAACACATGTAGAAGATCTGAGACCTGTGTGAGCCTTGCAGCAGCTGAGATGAACTGTTGATTGTCCATGTCGTTGTGGTGAGAGTCCAGAGCCTGCTGAATCTCGTACAGTCTCCCCAGGACAGCCAGGACGGCGTTGGTCCTCCTGAGCTGAGTCTGCAGGTCCTGGAACTCACTGGTGGAGGTGCTGAGCTGAGACTGGACCTGCACAGCATGACACAACCATAAAACTTTCAAACATGCAATACTGTAAATCACTTTGTGTTTGCGGTAGCAAAAGTTTGCGGTCTGAGAAAAATAGATCTAGACATAGTCACAGAACTATACGCTTGTGGTGGCGGCAGGTACGGCAAAAGTTGACGAACTAGTTGGTAATAACTCGAATATAAAAGTGCCTTGAAAAAATCGTGATTTACAGTATCGGCACTTGAAATACCATCTGCGTAAAAACTGGAGCCAGTATACTACAGTATGTCAGCAGAATGCACTCTGCCTGCATGGAACTGTTATATATTGCACATATCTAACTAAGGGTGACAACCCGTCTATAGTTGTCAAATGTGTCAGAAAAGTTATTATCTGCAACAGGCAAAATTCTCATGCAACATTAACTAACATCAAATGAAAACTGAAAAATCTGGGCTTCATGCAGTGCAGTACGCTCTGCAGATGTGCTACAGTCTGAGTGCAGTAACCTTACTGGAAAAACAAATATACAAGATGATATTAAGCCATTTTCTCACCTCATTTTGTATCTTGTTGTTGAGGTTGTCGACCTCAGTGAGAAGGGTGTTGACCCTGGTGGTCAGGTCAAGGGTCGTGTTCATACTGGGCACGAAGTCGACATACTTCTGGGTGATGGTTTCATAGATCTCACCTTTTATATCCTCCACTCGCTTAGACAACTTACCTACAGGATGATAGAAACAGCTGTTAAAATGTGTCTAATGGTTAAGGTAACAGGACACTTTGGCGCCTGGACACTTTGGGCCCACGTTTCGGCCCCAGGTCCAGGATGATTCGGCCTGAGGCTGAGGAAGGTTCAGCCCTGTAAAACTTATTGAACATTAACTATTAAAACATAGGAAACAGACTGACAAGTCCAATCGAACATAACATTGATGGACCCGGGGCCAAGACGTCTATGGTGTGGGGCCGAAGCATCCTCGGACCGGGGCCAAACGTCTTGATCGGCTGGGGGTCAAAGTGTCCAGGGTACGCCGCGCGGCTGACGTAAGCACATGCTGAAAATGATTTGAGAACTCGGCTTCCAGCGCCAAGAGTTACCGATCACTGGAACGATCCAGTGAGGAACCCGTTACTTAGGTACTTCGACACTGGCTATCCAGTGGTGAATGGCCTCTGACTCAGTCTGAGCACTGGTAAGCAAGTGCTGAGTAGAATTTAGCACCGGCTATCCAGTGGAGAACGGCCTCTGAGCACTGGCAAGCGAGTGCCGGGTGGAATTTAGCACTGGAAAATGAGTGCCGAGTCAAGATTCAGCTCTGGAAATCCAGTTCTGGCAGAGCTTCAGCACTGGAAAAAAAAGCCGTTCAGCACTAGAATTCCTGTGCGGAGTTTCCTTCCGCACAGGGCCCCGAGTGCCAACACCACCTTCCCCACGAGTTTGGCACTGGGTGGCCAGTGAGGAACCCATTACTTCGGTAAATGGTCACAGATGTCATATATTGGAGCTTTCTAGAGGTTAGAAAATCAATAAATTGACCTAATACTGGTTGTCCATCAAAAAAATTTAGCAGATATTTGATATCGACATATGGTTTTCACAGACTGACGAGTATAACGGTTAGATGGCCGCATCGTAAAGCAGTTGGCCCATGAGGCAGGAACAATATTTAGTATTCCTAAATACATGTATGTCAAAATTATGATGACCAAGGAAACAAGTGACTTCAGGTTCGACACAGTGCCACACACGCCCCCCTCCCCAACTTACTCGTCTTCTTCACCAAGTCGTCCTTTTCCAAACGACCCGTGGTCGCCAGGACTTCAGTAACAAAGGAAGACATGTTTACTGGAGACGTGTGACCGTCCCTTCACTTGGCAAACACTGTCAGAACTACAAGAATTTCCTTTAAAAAACTGGACGATTCTCAATCGTTGTGAAATACCGCCATTTCTGCTTGAACGTCGTGGTGCGTGATGGGAAGGGGGAGAACTATTACTTCTGTTTGGGGACTGGTATTACTAGCCAGATGACTCGCACCGGTTAGTGGTAAATTAAAAAATGAATGGTCCCTAATATACTACTGTACGTGCCTTACACCACTCATTGGTTGGCTCTCCCCACAATTTGGACCAATTAAGCTACAACAGGTTGTAAATTTACATAGCGCTTGACAAATCAGTGTTCAGCACATTCGGGCCACCGTCGGGGCTGTACGTGTCAGCTCCAACATGGCGGAAGAGAAAGACGATGTCAGCCGGCTTGACGTGGCTGTGGACGGTCTGACTCTCGCGGAAAACGAGAACGATTCTCCCGAAGGGGAGGCGGTGACTGCCAATGGAGGCGGAGACGGTGGTTTGTTTGACGAGAAGTGGGGTTTCCCGACGGAGGAACTTTACAAGCTCGCCCTGACGTTTTTCAAAGGTGGGAGGAGGTTACTGCGTCTCTACTGAAGACTTGTTCTCCCTTCTCGTGTTCCTCTGTTGAACACCTGTTGAGTGTATACATGAAGGGTGGATGTTGTTTCATGCTGTGCATTAGAATAAGACTGCTAAGCATTTGAATATAAGGTCGTCTTAAACCAACAAGACCCCCTGCAGCGAAAGCCAAGCTTGCTAGCTAGGATCAGAGATATGTTCAAGTACTATTACTAACGTAACTCATGAAACTTCCTGGATATATTATAATTTGCTATGGTAATTTTTGTATCACGTATGTTGATATGGATACTACCTTTTGTTACTAAGACATGCAGTCGTCATTAATTGTCTATTCAGCTCCGAGATGCACCTGATACCCAATTAACTCAGATCTGTGAAAACATTGTAATTAAGATAATTAACGTTTCATTTCTAATGAGCATTGAAATTTATCTCCTATATTGTTGTAGCGGAATTTGTGATTTTTGACCCAAAAAACACATTTCGTGTGATCAGGTGGGAAAGTCGATAAGAAACAGCTGACAGCACCTGACAGGTGAAATGTCAGCAGAAATGTTCACACCTGATCGGGTTTGATATTTAACTCAAGGTTAAAAGTCAAACGTGTCAGCGGTGTGATTGCAGGATATTCATGAATCATGATCAATATGATTGAATTGTTTTTATCTGATGAGGGTTTGCATGCGTGAGTTGCAGTGAGACATGTTAATTCTACGTTAACTGTGAATTATAGGAGTGCCGGCAATGCTAATGGTAAAATCAGGAAGACCAGCAAATTAATGCATTCCTTTATAAGGCTTAGGAAACACTTCAGTGAATTGTTCTTTTGCATTCATGGGGTGTGTGACAAAATTAGTCTGTGGACGGCAGACACTCTGTTGTGATTTTTGGGCATTCTTGTGTTCGTCTATGCCATACAAAGATTTTTCCTGTAAAGCATAACAATGAATTCAGGTTAACAAATATTGTGCTTCGTGGAATTGAAGTCACCAGTTACACTTCATGAATAATTTGTAGACAATGCTTAACATTGAATTAAAGTAGCCAGCTACAAGTGAATTAACAACTTGAATTAAAATGGCTAGCTATGCTTCATGGGGAAAAAAAAGACAGGCAGACCCTCAGATGTTTGTAGCATGAGGAAGATGTAATAATATGTGATCAAAAGAAGCCTCAGCCTAGCAGCTATATTCAACACTTTGTTCATTATGTTGTAGATTTAAAAAAAATGTCATAATGGAATTGTTGAACCAGCTTGGACATGGTATCAACAATGGTATTGACATGTGGATCTAGCTGGTGGGTTTTGTGTTGACACTGCTGTTGACATGCCAGCTGTTACAAAGGCTGACTTTACTTCATTACATTATTATGGGATCCAGATAAGAGGAAAAATCCTCTCTGATCCTGGTCTTGTTATGTGATGAAAACTATCTGTAATTACTATTGTAATGGCAAAAAAGAAGAATGTGTAAATAGAGGATTGTTTAACAGTCTGTTTTATGGCTACTTGACTGACTACTAGTATGTAAATTGATAATTACAGCAGAAGTCAACTGGATAACGTCCACATTGGCTTGTCTTACAGGTAATGCTGCAGCTAACTATTCAGAAATATGTTCTAAAAACCATCTCTTGAAGTTTGAGTGTGTTTCTTTATTTACAGAAAAAGAAGGCAAGGCAGTCCACCTGACGTATGGAGACAAGTTGAAGCTGGTGGCCTACACCAAGCAGGTACAAGTGGGGCCGTACGACGCCGAGAAAATGCCTCCTGTTGGATACTTTGACGTCATCGGTAATGATCGCAGGTATTACACACCAGCCATTTTCTAAAGCAGTACTTGTCATACTGTAAATGGAAAAACTTTAATTTCACTCCAGTTTTATTTTTTACCATCATGACCTCACCATCATTCATGACATTACGGATGGTATTACTACTGTACCTCAGAGTTGGTCCAACTGCAAAAACTCTGTAAAAACTGCGAGATATAACCACTGCAAAAATAAATGCATTTACAGTAAGATACCAGAGTTATGAATGTGGTGGAACAGGTAAGACTTACATGGTCCAATTCTGCTGACTGGGTTCAGATTTTATCTCCAGTAAATGCGCAGACAGCCTTCCGTGACCTGGAACAAAAAAAATTGCAGTCCACATTCAACACTTTTTGCTTTTTTTGTTGTATTATGATTTACTAAGTATTTGATTTATTAAAATCAGTTGTTTTAAAGAAAACATTAAAAAGTGAAACCTGAGTTAGCGCAGAATGGCAGCCGCTCCAGATCCTTGCGATTTAGCCCCACCAATTGTAAGCTCCTTGCAGTGTAGTCCATGACTGCAAGGAAAGAGCAGCTTGTCCACTTAATAACAATAACTGTCTGCTTGTGTGCAGGAAAGAATGGCAGGCCCTGGGAGACATGGGGAAGCACCAGGCCATGTGTGAGTTCTGTCTGCTGCTGGACAACCTCTGCCCGACATTCCAGCCCTACGTGGAGGCACACAGAAGGGACCTGGAGGAGAAGGAGAGGATTAAGTATGTTGGAAAATTCACCACATCCCTTCCTTATATGGATTGTTTACCTTTATGAAAATCAAATTATTGTTTTTGGTCTAGCTGTGTGTCTGTTTTTCCACATACCTGGTACTTGTGTTTAACTTAAGAGACCAGAATGGATTGTGATGATATTTGGTATGTGGGTAGGTCTTGGAAAGACCAATGTCAAAGGCAGCTATGGGCCTCCTGGCAGTTGTCCCTGGTACTGCAACAGAACCTCTAGTTTGTGTAGCTTTTGTCCTGGACATCCTAGGGTCCTGACATTCTGGTAGCAGCTAGCTTTTCATGTGAGGAAAGCGTGGTGTAGGTTTGGTCTCCCTAGCACCTGTTTCTTTAACATGGTTGAACCAAAATCTTTGGAAAAAAAATGATTTTCACATTTCATATGTTGTTATATGTTAAATGAATTGCAAAGAAAAAGAGTGTAATTGTTACCTTCCATGGCAGACGTGAGGAAGAGGAGCGGCTTCAGCGTGAAGCGGAGGAGAGGGAACGTCAGCGTCTGGAGGAGGAAGCTCGCAAGAGGGAAGAAGACGAGAGAATACGACAAGAACAACAGAAGTAGGCAAACTTGTGTAACCCCTGAGGCAAATTGTGACTCACCTGGTGCCAAAAGAATATTTTTGTTGTTTTCTTGCTGATATCATGGAGTGCCTGCGGATTTACATGTGTATTAACCAGTCCTGTTTGTATCTATCCTTTATAGATTAGCCATTATGAATGTCCTGAACCAGCAGACAGCAGCACAGTTTCAGCAGTACGCAGCGCAACAGTTTCCAGGGAACCCTGAACAGGTAGGTGTGACATTTACATGTATATACCAGCACCTCGGCAGAAAGCACTGCCTCTGTCGGGTGTTTGGTCAACGTTACATCAGAGTTTCGCCTGTTGCAGAACGATATATTTTCCAACATAACATTTGAGATCCATAGACAAGATGTCATCTTTAAATACAAGAATACAAGAGACATTTTGCCAAAGTCTATGTATAATACATAGCACATTACAGGTTTTGTGCAGGCACAGCATGTTCTGTGGACATTCTGTGACATTTCACCACCTACCCTGCATTTCACCACATGCATCCTTATACATGTCTATTTTTGAAATGAGCCTTTAACAGTGAACTGTTGAGTACATTTTGAATGAAAATTGTGATTTTCTGGGTTTTTTTTTGTACAGCAACAATTATTGATAAGGCAGCTGCAGGAGCAACACTACCAGCAGTACATGCAGCAGGTGTACCAGCAGCAGATGCAGCAGCTACAGCAGCAGCACCTGCAGCAGCAGGCCCCTCCCCTCGCCAACCACGTGGATGCCGAGGGAGGTCAGGGGTCAGCGGCTGCCGCCGGGCCGCCCGCGCTTGACTCTACAGGTGACAGCGAAGAAAAGATAGTAGAAAATGGGCCCGAAGGTTTGTCAGCAGAATGATTACAGCATGATTACAGCATGATCTCAGCATGATCACAGCATGATGCATGATTCAGCATGATCACGGCATGATTATAGCATGATTGTGCATGATTACAGCCCGAATACAACATGATTGTGCTTGAGGGAAATTCTTACCTCCCGGCCTGTTGCATGTTGTGATCATCTTGATGTTGATGACAGATGAGTTTAATCCTTTAAAGATAAAGGCCTTTTTGCAGAATATCAGAATGGGTAAATGCAGGGAAAGCTGGTGTGTTATACCAGTTATACAAATACAGATAAAGAAGCAACACCTTACCATGACAGTATATGTGCATATGTAGATGTACTGTGTCCAGTCTATCTATATTGGTAATGTTGGGCCTACACCTTTGACACTGGGCAACATGCGCTGTCTTCATTGACCCTCTGGCTCCCCTCTAACACGACTCCATCCCTGTCCGACAGAGGAGTACCCGAGCATTGCGGCGCCGTCCATGTGGACCAGACCGCAGATCCAGGAGTTCAAGGAGCAGATCAGGAAGGACAAGGACTCGGTCATCACCGTGGGGCGCGGCGAGGTGGTGACCGTCCGCGTTCCCACGCACGAGGACGGCGCCTACCTGTTCTGGGAGTTTGCCACAGACAGTTATGACATTGGGTTCGGGGTGTACTTTGAGTGGACGATAGCGCCCAGTAACGCGGTGAGCGTGCACGTGAGTGAGTCCAGTGATGAGGAGGATGAAGATGAGGATGTGGAGGGTGAGGGTGAGCAGAGGTTTCCTGTACTGTCTCAATTGTGCACTTATGTGGAGAATTGTATATGAAAGATTAAACTCTAAGACTATGAAAGTCCAGCTAGAGAGTAGCTTTCAGATGGCAAATTCCATATTTCATCAGCTCTGAAAGGGGAAATCATTTGGTAGTAACAGTAACTACACTTCATTTGGTACAAATTGGTAGTAATAAATAATAATAATACAGCTAATAAAAATCCACATACATGTACACCTACATTTGTACAAATGTATATAAACCCAGCACATGGCCCAGTATCGTACAGGTTAGATGCAAGTAGACACCAGAAATACTAGTGCACAGCTCCAGTTTTACCTGCATTAACCTGCAAATGCCCAGTACATGGACCAGTGCAGGTAAACATCAGAAGTACCAGTACCTGCACAGCTCCAATTTTACCTGCACTAGCCTGCATATTTACAGCCATGTACAGGAATGAGTTCTTGTGTTCTGCCCACAGGTGAGGAGGGCCAGGATGTAGAGAAAGGCGCGCGAAGCGACCGGCCGCCGACAGACGAGATTGTGCCCATCTATCGCAGAGACTGTCACGTGGAGGTGTACGCCGGCAGCCACATGTACCCGGGGAGGGGCGTCTACCTCCTGAAATTTGACAACTCTTACTCTTTATGGCGATCAAAAACACTGTACTATAGAGTTTATTACACAAGATGAGTGATTAGCCTAAGGGGTTTGTTACAGAATACAAATATAATTCTAAAAGAAATTACATTATTACTCTCTAATGAAGTTGACCCTTCTGTGTAGATGTACATTGTAAGGTCATGTGGAATTGTAGTTTACGTAATGACTTTTGTTCTTTTTTTGTGTGAATTATGGCAGCAAAAAGTATGGTTATGTAAGATTTTAAGCCTAAAGTTTGGCTTTGTAAGTTTCAAGGATGTCACACCCAGATCTTGGTGCAACTAAAGAGAATCTTTCTTTTTGTCATGAATTTATTTATCTTTATCATGAGCATCCTTGTTGCTAAACTGACCTTTCAAAACAAGTGCTTTCCTACTGAGGTGTGTATATAGAGTACCAATGCAAATATATATCTGTTTGGGAATATTGGGATGGCACGCTTTTCTACACTACAGAGTCAGCAACCCTAGGTATGGGCAGTACTTGTAAGAGATCGAATTTGTACTTGTAAAAGACTCTTGTTTGTCTCTAGCAATCTGGAAGAAAAAAGGAGTGTACTTGGTATCACAAGAAAGAAAAAGTCTGTTTATATATGGGAAAATGAAGCATTCTGTGCACATTTTGTAACACTGAGAGAAGTGTCTTTCTAGGATGGTAGATAGCAATGTATGTGGTCAAAGTCATACCATACTTGTATACAATAATTATGGTTGGACATATGATTGTATAGGCTCTTGAAGCTTCTATAATGCTTATCTTGGACATTATTTCTCTGTTTGGCTGTTTCATCATGACTACAGATCAACGTGCAATGTTCTGTATGGCCTCCACTGTGCTTATGTGATATACATGTATGACCAGTTTACAAAGGCTTTTTCTACTCAAGAAGGAATTTTGGAACACAGAAGTCTAAGTCATGTTTTCTTCACAGATCTAGATATTATATATGTAGTACAATAAGGTTCATAATTTATACTTGTAAAATCTCAATGTATTTGCCTGACATGCCCACAAATATGTGCCATATAGTATGATTTGTGTGGTTTAAATGCACTACTGTATAAAAGCTCTCATAATATTTTCTGTGATCATTTACTGAATGTACAGATCAATGTAGGACTCTCAGTTGAAGTCAGATATTCATATTAAGTCCACTTCTTGTCAAATCATTTCAGCTTTATAAACCAGCCTTTGCAGTAGAAATGATCAAAATGATCATTCTGAGAAAATTTCATGAAAGAGCATTTCATGTACCTACATTCTTGAACAGTTGGTGTAACCTTGATTGAGGTTATTTGCCGATTTTGTTGTTAAAATAAAGGCTGTGAACTTCCTCGAAGGTTTGTATTTCGTGACGAACAGTGAAACGTAGGCCAACATGATCTACGAAAGGTTGGAAGAATGACTGCTGAGTGTTCGGATACTTTCTTGACTTAGTTTTGACTTTTATTCTTCTTTCATAAAAGAATGACCAAGTGTACTACACCTCTTTACATACCCTGTACCAGCAACTCATAAGACAAACATTTAGTAACATGGCTTTGCATTAAGCAGAGTAGAAACTTAAATCATAGAGGGAAGCACACAGAATTGCTCAACTGGTAAGGACAGAACTAAACCATTTAAGGCATCCAATGCAATTTCAGGGTGACAATACAAAATATGCCGGATGAGGAAATCTGATATTGACATTTTCTGCTATCGCTTTGTATATTTTCGTCATCATTTTACACTTGAAGCATTTCAAATACATTGTAGCCCAAAAACAAGCTACAAGTGGCATCTTTTTTTTTCTGACACCAATAAATTGGTAGAACCAGCAATGACACAAACAAGGAACCATTTTCCATCAGTGACATCGCTTTTTTGCCACATACATATATCTGTATGCTATGGGGTAGGATTGATTCAACTTGCTATATCAAAAAAATTACCAGAAAATTGACTGAAAATCGAGTTTTACAGCCCTGAAATCACTGGGTGCCTAGGTAAATGAACGTGAGAAATGTTTAAAAAAATTAAGTAACAGTTTGTTCTCACTCTTTTTATTCGCTCCAGAATAAAAGATTTATTGGTTGTTACACAATGTTCTATCAGTTTGATTCTTCGTACATTCATTTCTGTGACCTCTTAGTTTTTCAAACTCAAGCCAGTTTCTTTTAGTGTCTATCTTTTCTTCACACTCTTGCAGTACATAAAGTACTATTGCGAGGTCTGAAGTAAGGTCTTACATTTGCCGTCTTCATGGGATTATCATTTACAAAGTTAACAGTTATCTTTGGAAATCAGGTAGAAGTGAATGTAGGTTTTCCTCCTATTATATTGTATCTATTTAGAAGTTGAATGTTATCTTTGTTTTACACAAACATACATGGTTGTTATTAGACAATATTCAATAGGTCTTGACAATTTCTGTTCTTGCAATTTTACGTCATACTCCCTTATGGCTTACTCTCCAAGCAGAGGTTTTGGCTTATTTTTTACTGTTTTAATTGGGTTTCTTTTTTGTACTAGTACCTTTTTTGCCAAACTACGGTGGCATATCAGATACTGCTCTGTCAATTTGATACTGTCTTGTAGCCACCAAAAGATCTGCTTGGAGATTATACTCATGACTACAGTAACTTAATGCACATATAGACATGGTTTTGTAACATTTGGCACATAAATTTACCAGGGTACCAACGACAAGGCACATATATCTCTGGGAGGGAGTAGAAAATACACTTTAAACCAGAATCCCACATACATCTCCCTTTTCTTGCTACTCTTTTTTGTAAAACAAAATTCTTCATTAAAAAACAGACCACCAGCAAACGGCAAGTACAAGATTGAAAATACTTTTGTGGCTGATATACTACACCACAACAGTACGATTTTGGGACTTTTCATCCATACATGTATGTCTCAAGATAGAACTCTTGAACTACAGCACCAACTTCAGATACAAAAAACAATGAGCATTGCCATTCAAATGAAAGAGCTACTCCAATCTTCCCATTCAAGAAAAATACCAGTAAAATTTAATTACAACAACATTAATACAAGTGTACTACAAAAGAATGTCAACCCGCTTTTAAACATTTACATACAATACTGAGGTTTCGGTTATAAAACAGCGAATGTTTACATGTACAAATGTATATGATATGTGGGATAAATCCATTAAATTGATATATGCCGACCAAAGCAAATTGAAAGTTCAATTAAGTTATGCTTATTTGGTTTCCATTAGAATTTAGATGACATCTTTACATCAAAGTTAAGTCAAGCGCTCTCTATGTTTTAATCTTTTGTGTAGTACATACTTTGATTATACCTGAGATTACATGGAACTTTTGTCCTTAATTTGGTAGGAATACATGTACAAGAAGGTATTGCAGAATATGAAACATCTTTCTTATGTATACTATCTTCTTGAGGTACAAATTTGAACAGGAAATAAGCACATTTTTAATTTGTGTCTCAAAACTCATCACACACATACATCTGGGGTTTTCCTACAACAATAAAAAAAGTCACACTGGTCATTAAAATGTTTGCGAGGCTTGGATGATTTTGTTTCAAAACTGTACAAGTGCATAAAAAGTCACGGCAAACTAAAGAAAACTAATGTACAGACTCTCTGAATAGCTATATATTGATTAGCTTCAAAATGTATGGTACTGAAGTCTTTGATACATAGAAACATAGAACATTAACAATTTACAACAATATCAGTTCCTACTTTCCTTCAGAACTACACAAAGCTAAAGTAATTCACTTCAAATGGCACAAAGGTCTACATGTATTGTCATTTTGTGCCATTTTCAATCCCCACTATTGATAATCTTGCCTTACATCTAGGTGTAGGTGTAACATACTGTAGCCTTAGAGGCTGATTTTTACTTCAGGAATGCCTCGGGTGGAATCTTGTTCTGTCCCTGTAGATAAAACAGATTCGGTCAGTGACAATCTGTAGCAGCTTGAACAGCTTTTACATGTATCTTCGGTAAATCGGGTTCGTAAGTCCATCTAAGCATAGATTTGTAAGTTCTACGACCATATATTTCAATGTGCCAACGTTTCGACAATCTCCCTGTTGTCTTCATCAGGGCAAACTGAACTTTGCTTTTGTCTGTGACATTGTGAATAGTTATGCCAAATAATCTGTTCCCGAATGTGACTTCAGCATAGACTCAGTCATGTTTGGGACCGCATCCATGCCGCTTCATCACAAGTCATCTGTCAGTAATGCAATCTTCTGGGCCTGCAAAGAGCTTCATACACTGAAGTTACAGTAAATAAAACAGAAAAGTCACCTTCAGCTCTGTGAAGACTTGAGCAGATTTGTTGTACTCCCAACCATTCTGCTCCAGGCAGCTGAGGTAGAAGCATGATGAGAAAATGGTTAGAATCATTCAGCATCAAAAATATTTTCAAAAACCAAGAGCACTCAAGTTAAAGCAAGTGTGACATGAATTCAACGCTACTAAGAAAAAAATGTGACACAACAAAGCTAGACTTGGAGGATAGCAGCATGTCAGCAGAACGTACTGTGTCTGCGCAAAACCATGGTTTCTGTTGGATGATTCGACAGTTTCAGCTAGATGTTTGGTCAAAATTGCATTAGAATTTTGTCCATTGCAAATAAAACTTGCAATTCTGAAAACTAACAGAATATTATCCTTAATTTGTGAACACGAGTTTAAACAATATGTTCTGAATAAGCATGATGCATGTTACATTCCAGATTTTGCTGATGAGGACAGCTACCTTTGTGACCACTCCTCGTTCATGCCGGACTGTTCAGCAAACATCTTGACCATCTGCTGCTGGGGTTCGGACAGTCCCGATGGCCCGGGGACTGGACTGGGGGACGGGGTGGGGGCTGGGGAGGCAAACGCCGCCTGGAAAATATAGCAAGGAATGTAACAATTAAGTCATGTACATTCTACAGTCTGCTTTACCAAATGAGCTCAGAAAGAAAACATTTGGTAGAATACATCCCAGAGAAAAAACTGAATTACAGCAACTTTAAAAATCTTGTCCATGGAGTATTTATCATGTACTGGAGAAACACAACATAAAGGTAGACAATGTAGACTGGCAGTAGACATACCTTCTCTTGTGTCGGGCTGGCAGCAGAAATGGTCATCATGTCATTCACAATGCACAACCTGAGTACAACAGGAACTTGGTTAGCCTTCACAGGACAGGTGTGGCATGTCATTCTCCTTATGCAGTGCTCGAAATACTACCTACATACATGTATCCAGGTTAGTGCAGGTAAAATTGGGGCAGGACAGGTACATGTACCGGTATTTCTGATGCTCTTGATGGTAAGGCTGTTCCACAATAAACGTAAAACAGACAGTACTACTACTAAATGAATGTTACAAATTAGTCTCTTCCAGTTGCTTTAAAAATAGGTAACTGTCATGCCACTGATAAATCTGCTTGAAGACCAATCTGGCTATCATGAGGAGTGAAATGTCCAGGTGCTCACCCCTGTGCAGCTGGTACAGCTGTGAAGACTCGAGAGAAGGACCGGATGGGAGGGTTGCCACCTGACTTGCTCACCACTGTAAGAGAGATTAACAATGAGGACTTGTTTTAGGCAGCTGTAACAACATCAACAATAAAGATTTTTCTGTGCAACACACTGGATACAAATGTTTTTGTAGCAGGCTTTACATATAATTCTAACATTTTATTCGGCATTGTACCTTCCTAGGATTAAGATTCATATCTTATTTATAATCACATGCATATTGTAACCATTCACAAATAATGATAATTACTGACCTTCTCTGAATAATCCAGACACAGTGAAGCACATAAGTGAGTTCTGAAATGCAGACATGTAAAGATTCTCAATTACCATGATCCATGTAGAAAAATGAGAACAGATACAGTTTAATAATCTCAATCAACTACAGGATTATTGGCCACAGATTTTTTTCCACTGAGTACAAGAAGGTTCTTTCTTTATCAGCAACCAATGGGTATTTTCACATCCAATGTTTTGTTGACCGTCTGTCACCTTCTTCAAGGCAACAATGACTGGTTCTGATTCGCATTGCAGCTAGGTGTCGTTAATGCAATATCACAAACATGGTTCCAAATGTAGAGTCACATAATATTGTCAATCTAGCAACATCTACATGTAGCTGCAGTTCAAAATAGAACCAGTCCTTGTTGCCCCAAAGGTGACTGATGGTCACCAAAACATCCAAGACAACCAAGACAAGAAACCCACTGTTTGTTGAATAAAGAACTTTTACTGCTTATACAGTCTCTTGCCAACCTGATGAAATTATTTACGGATGCTGTACTGTGTGTGACTTACCATAGCCACGCCCACATCTATGACAAATGAGTTAGGGTCGTGCTGCGTGTGCGGGAGCTCGTTCAGGAAAGCCACCACGTTCAGACGAGAGTGCTTCAGGTATTTCACTCGTTGGGCTACAACGAAACGAAAGGGACGTAAGCACTGTCAGTGAGCAAAGAGCATCTACTCTGAGAACTACTCTGGGAGCTCTTTTCAATTGCACACTGCTAAATTGTTTCTGAACATCCACCTATTCGCATCTATATATACACCTGCTACATAGAATTAATAGATACACAGAAAGTACAATGTGTATTCCTGAACATCCAATGCATTCGTACCTATATACCTGCTACATAGAATACACAGATGCATTTGCACCTAGTGTATATACCTGCTACATAGAATATACAGAAATCACAATTCATCATCTAATGCTACCCGTGATTGTAGCTTAACATGTAAATGTTGTATTTTTACTTGCTAAATATTCACCTGTCCATAGTTTTATGTTTGCTGTTTTGGACCTGACTTTTTGCAGCAAACTGGTTATTGACAAACATGCGCTTTGACTTATTTACTGATGTATTGTTTCACTCGAAAACCTAAAGAACCCTGAAAACGCCTCTTTTCCCATCCCACTACAAAATAGACCCCCCCCCCACACACACACATCTTAAAACAATTCACAGTACACAGTACAGTCAGGTCTACTTACAAAGGTCTCTCACAAACAGGAGATTTCGGGAATCTCGAGAGAAATCCTGTAGTGATTTCCTCTGGTAGTGTGGAGCATTCAGGGGTGAAAACACACACAGAGAGAAATATGCCTGCAAAGTAGAAAAGCAACCATTCTTGACATTGTGCATTCTGGATAAAGTGCCATCATATACAATTTCAATGGAACACTTCTAGTATCTCCATCCAGCAGATTTTTAACGGTTTTCGTTGGATGTTTGGTCAACGTTGCATCAGAACTTTTCTTGTTGCAGACGATATCTTTTCTGACACAACATTTGAAAACTATAGACGGGTGTAATCCTTGAATATCCGATATACATTTTATGATCTTAAAGATCAAAAGACATTCTGAAACATGCTATGCATGAACATAATGGGTTTCGTGCAGGCGCAGTACTTTCTGCTAACGTGCTATGTAACATACTAGTACATGTATGTAGTACTAGAAGACTTGATGCTTACTTGGTCATGGTAGGCCTCCAGTAGACCTTGTCTGTCCTCAGAGTCATACACTATAAAGTACCTGCAAAACAAAGCATGGCTCAGTCAACAAACCATCAACAAAGACAACCTGAATTAGACATCTACATTTGAAGTGGCCCACTAAATCTATCTAAACTTTAGGTACCTTGATAATTAATATTAAAGTTTCTAAACAGATGAAAAAGCCTGCTACATTTTAATGTAAAAGACATGGCACATACATAATGCAACATATTTCAAGTTAATGTAGTACACATAATTTATGATTTAAACTTACTACAAAAAATACTACATATCAGTTTCTGATCAACCACATAAGTGTTGGCAGACTGACTTTTCCAGAAAATCCATGATGATCTTCCTGCACATGTCATTGTTGTCAAAGTTGCTCCCCTGCAATCATAAAATGAGACAGGATGATCATTTCTCTACACAGTGCCCTTTGAAAACATAACCTCAAAACCTTCAGTTGTTACCTCTCTACAAATCCTACTTAGGCAATACTACAGTACTTATAATAGGTTTGGTAACAAGGCTAACAGCTTTATGCAAAAACTATACCACATACTTTGTCATCTTTATCATACAAAATACTACATAGACGACCGGTACCTTGGTCTCAGGCAGTGCTGTGTTTGACTCCAAGTCGAATGCGATGGGTGGAGGGAGCTCGTGACCATCCTAGGAAGTGATATAAATGTCATTGAAACATACAAAACAATGCAGAGATCTTCGACACTACATTGGACTAAGATACTTGCAGTATGCAACAAATGTGTGGAATAAGAGTTATATTCTTCAGTGGATGTAGATTTAAATTACGGGGTACCTCAGTTCCTGACTTTTTCACGATACTTTTATTTTTAAGTTTGCTGTTTTCACAGTCAAGGTGATGGAGGACAGAGACTACTGGGCAGCCATTGTGGTTCGGGTGGTAGAGGAGGAGTGGCACCCGACTTAAGTAAGTAAGTAAGTAAGTTTTCACAGTCACTTTAGTACTGTGAACATTACCATTGTCACCCCCCCCTCCCCCTCTTGCTAGCACCATGAAGATCTGTGAACATTTTCCTCATACTGTGAAACTTTGCTACTGTGAAGACAAAGTTTGTTACCCAGGCACAGTATATTATATCTGCATCCTGTATACGGCAAAATGTATCTTGCTTCCAAGGGAAAAAAATATTTGCTGGACAAGATAAGGTTTCTATAAAGAACCAACTCACCAGTCTGGCTACCTTGGGGAACCTCTTCCTCACAGCGCTAGAGAGAAAGTACAAATCAAACACATCTCGTCTGTTAGATAACTGCAGTACTTACACAGGACAACAGGGGGACTCACACCACCAACACAAACAGAAGACTGCAGCAGGTGGAATACTGTAACTGGAATCTCGTGTTTGCTTACCAAGCCGAGTTTTTCCTGAACTTGAGTCCATCCACAATATGGTTAATGGTCTTAAATTTAATTCAATGCCAACTTGTTACATGCAGTTAACCTGTTTGATAAAATTGATGCAAAAAGCTCAAGGCATTGCAGGTATTGTCTCCAGGTGGCTTTGCTATTAAGTTCCAAGATCATGATGCAAAGGAACATCACATTATGAATGTTTCTCTTTTGTTGCCCTTTTCTACTGGTAAGAGCCTCTTCAATTTGATAGAGATAAGTTTCTCTCACTTATACGGAGTCAGGTAAAGCCTCAGTGTTCATTGTTCATCGTCCATTTTTCACAAATTTCTTTCTGTGCGCTTTTGTTCTTTTGCTTTCTCTTTGTCCATGTCCTAAAGCCGTCACTGTGAACATGAGTGGCGTGAGTAATGTGACTGACGTAACAACTGATGTGCACACCACACCAGGGTAGGGAACAAAGAGAAAAACGAGGACAGAAGGGTAGGCAAAGGGGTAGGGTTTCCAACACCATTGTTTCACACCAAGGTTCCAACACTCCTGTGACTTGATGTCCATGTTGTGGTGATTGCTTCCTGCTAGGTTCCTTGACTCTGGCCTTGCCCCTGAGGGCTGGCGGCTCAGAGCTGTGAGGGGTGGGGCTGGGAGCGCAGGCTGCGCCTGGCCTAGGTTGTCCCTCACCGCTGGAGGGCCCAAACCCGTCATGGGCAAACAGCCTGGCCCCGCCCAGGAGAGGCTATGAGTGGAGTGGTCCAGCGACCTCGGCACGTGCCATGCCTTGCTCTCTCCTGACTCCGACTTAGGGCTTTTTTTCCAGCCATCTTGTCTCGGTGTAGGCAGCCCTCTTTTCCTTCCACACAGTTACTGCTTCCATTGTTTAATCTCCTGCCTTTAGCAAGTGGTATCTGTGGGGTCTGTGTCAGGATAGGATGGTGTATATACAAGGACTTTGTCCAGGAAAGGATAGGGATGTACAACTGACCAGAAGTGGTGGTTGGAAAGAGTGATGGACAGGGATAACACACAAGAGGATTGACATGAAGGACAATATGGTGGGGAGGGATGATGGTAAGGATATGGGGGAGCACATCGGTCTTTCAGTTGGCTGTTTGAAGTCTTGCCACTAAACCAAAAAGCACCACAGTGTAGCGACATGGAGGTATGGTAGTGGAGATGGAAATTTCTTCATTTTTTTTTCTGTATTTGTCATGTTTTTGAACAGGATAGTGATCTTGCTTAAACAGCAGATGTTTGCTGTGTATTTCTTTTACTTTATTTGAGGTTCGGTGTTAACGTTCTGGTGATTCTCGCTGAGGCTTGATTGCCCTGACTCCTGTTGGCCTACTGCCTGACAACATCAAAAATAACACTCATATCTTAAGTAGCAGCTTACAAATGCCTCCCGTAAGACTCAAGACCCTTGTACATACAGTCCTTGTGACGGAGTCTCCCTTTACTTCCCACTGTTACCTTGCGGAGGCCACACCCTCAGCAGGTGTTCCACCTGCCCATTGTTACCTGATGTATGCTGACTGCTCTTTGAAGTGGTTACAGACGGGATTCCCATCCAACCAGAGTTCATCCAGCTTCCAGTCCTTGATTTTGTCCAGCTCAAACTCACTCTTCAACTGAAGAGAAAAAAAAACATTACAGTATACTGAAATGTAAGAAGTCTGAGATGTATCTGTGAAATTCTCTAGATGTCTTTTGAAGATTCTAGATGCCTTTTGAATATTTCTAGCTGTCTTTTGAAGATTTTATAAATTCTAAATATCTTCTGAAGATGTATCTGCAAAATTCTTGAAGCAGGTAAGAATTCGCCAGTTATGATCCTCAACATGATATACTAGTACTCCCATATAACACAAAGGAACATTAACAAAGAACATACTACACAGAGAAAATATCAGTTATCGCCTACTAGTTCTGTTAACTAATAAAACCATTTAGCAAGTTGACAACAGCTCCCCCTACCTCGTTATGTGAGAGGTTCAGGTACTTTACACCCTTCCTGACAGACACCAGGTCAGCCAAGTCCCCCAAGTGGAACAATCTGTTGTTGCTCATATCAAGATGTTCAATCTGAAACAAAAAAAATGTCCTCATCAAACCATAAGACTAAACTGGAAAGCATGAAATATCAAAATTTACAACTAGCAGAGATAAAAAAATTGACCAAAGTTTGTAAAGGTGTACGATGCTTTGGTACATGTACACATACCACTGGCACATTTTCCTTGATGATTGCTATCACTGAGTTCATGTACATTTTTCTGCTCAGGGCCACACGGATGTCTTGTGCTTGTAGTTCTGTGGGCACAAACAATTACATGGTGAACAGTACTTACATTTTGATTTTGAAGCATAGTAAGCAGGGAAACGCATTTACAAAAGCGATACCTATCTCTAGAACTTGGTTCTGTGGTTTGAAAATCCAGCCTTCATGTTATTTCTTACAGACACAAAGAACAGAGACACGTTTTCTACATTTCAAAAGACAGCCACAGCACACACATCTAATTAATACAAGAGTTCACACAATTTGAAACACAAAAAGACAGACAGACAGACAGTCCTACCAATGTCTCCGAACAGGTTACTCAGATTGAGCGCAGACGTGGTCGCATCAAACCTCTTTGCCATGCACAGCTGTCAAAAGAGAACAGTAATTTATTCAAAATGCACAGTGACAGGACAATCTTAGAACCCCCAGAATAAGCACATGGGAGAATATACTGTGCCTGTACAAAACGTAATGTGCATAGCACTTCTGAAGAACATATCATTTTAAAGTCGTGTTTGTGTATCTAAGGATGATATCCTGTCTGTAGCCTGCAAAGGTTTTGTTGGAAAAGGTATTTCATGCAACAGACAACATTCTGATGCAAAGCTGACCAAACATCCTAAAGAAACTGTGCTTTGGTTTTGTGCATGTACAGTACGCATACTGTACAGTACGTACAGTATGCTCTCATAATGTAAAGTATCTGAAGGTTCATGACATCTCTCTCCTCCACACCTTCGTTATTCTCAGTTCATAAACCTTACTGAATGAAATGGTTCCGATTCAATGTCCTTTCTCACAGATGTTGACTTAATTACATTATTTCAGTCAGAATGTCCTCAAAACACATCTTTGTACCACAAATCAAGACTAAGCCAAATGAAGCATTCTGCACAGATTGCTTATCGTCTTTATCTTCAAGAAAGTAAATTCTATGCTCACAAAAACTTCAAGACATGCACTGTAACTTCATGTATGTGTAGAACATGTCTTACTTTTATTGCTTCCATTGTGGTCTTGTTCACCAGTCGGATACTTTCGGGTGTTTCGGGTCTGGATAAGACGACCAACTACATAGGAAGGGATTGTCTTTAATGTCAGTAAACACAAACATAGAGTTTCAATTCAACAAAATTGTAAGTAACACCTGCCTCTCACTATTTCATACCCTGTATAAAGTAGAACCTACAGTAGATCTTTTGTGGGATGTTTTGCAATGGTTTGAAAGTAGCTCGGTGTGCATTCTCAACAGGGATGAGAAATTATAATATAACCATCAAGTTGTACAAATTGAAGATCAAGAGATGACTAATCTTACCTTAATGCCCTCTCGAGTCTTGATCTTCCTGCTGATACCAGTTAGACCGTCGGCCGTAGCCTTGTCAGGAACATAGAAAACTACGTTGTTCTTGTCGAAACGATACTGGAAGGACATTTGAACAAAATTCAGTTGTGTAAGGGCACCTATAGATTTTACTCTCTTTGTTCTAACTTTCAGAAAGATCAGATGAAGATTCAGTACAATGTACATGTACATGTACTTGGTCAAAATACATTTGGATTTAGGACCTAAGTAGACATTACTGACGCGCATGAGTGTGTGTGTGTGTGTGTGAGTGTATGTGTTTGTGTGTATGTTTGTATGTATGTATGTGTGTGTGTGTGTGCATTCATGCTATGTTTGTGTGTGGGATTAAGTGGACGAAAGCTAGCAAGGCTGACACTCAGGCTAGTGTGTGTATGCATTTGTGCATGCGTTCTTTGTGCATATGTTGTGTCTTTGTTTTCAGGACAGCCAACACTTACCTCTGTAGGCTGGAATGGTACTGGGCACATTTTTTGCAGCGTATTCAGCAACCAATTTTTGTCATTTCTCTTGCCTTGAAGGACCTAAAATGACAAGCAAAAAAGTTACTAAAAAAAAAAGTCATAGAGATAGTAACAATTCAGTGCAAACAATGTAATGTGGAAATATATATCATAACTTTGTGTCGTGTGCTAACGTTTCAATAATGTCACTAGATTCTTATTTCTGCTACTTCCCAATACAACCGTTCCATGTGTACTCACAGTGATTTTGTGCCAGCCATCCTCATCCCCTCCCTCTGCTCTGTTGGAATGGCTGGTGCTGGGTGCGTCCAGGTCTCTGTACCCCCCTCTTCCCCCACCCCCGCGACGGCCTCGACCGGAATGATTAGGGCGGTTGGAGCGTCTCGACTCAGGACGCCCATATGGATTACTAGGAAACACACAGACACAAAATATACAGTTTACATGAAAGGCCAACCTTTTCAATCTTACTGTTGCACAAAGCACAGCATAATCATGACTCTTGTATTTGCTACAGTAACACTGCACTGAGTCTACCTCCTTAAAGAATGGAACAATGGTGCTCCTCTATTACACCATACTGTAATCCCAGCACAATCATACTGCTTTCCAAAAATAGGGTTTTCCTTAAGAATATCTGCCTGGTCTTTGAAATGCAATTCCAGACCAAAGAAGGGAACATTTGCAAAGCAGATGCATAATGTTAACCTTCACATGGTCTAGTCTAGAAATCTACTGCTCTGCCAAGTCTTACTCAAATACATTCATATAAACAGTGAACAGCCTCTCCAACTCTGTCCTGTCACTTGCTACATAATGTAATCTAATACCACAGGGTGCTGCTACAGCACCAGTTACCAAGGTGACAGCCATTGATTGACCGTACTTGTTTGAGGAAGAAGAGGAAGAAGAAACAGAGCAAAAACGACATGTTCTCCTTCACAAAAGTACACATAATATAATGTTACATACTATCTCTGACTCTGTTGAGATTCGGAGCCGTCATCAGACATCTGAATATCTCCCTCGTCATCTTCAAATCTGGACCTGGGCGTCGGCCCTCCCCCTTCTCCTCCCCGTCCTCCCCTCTTCCATCCTCCCCGGCGGTTTCCTCGGTATCTGTTACGACTGGAACCTCTGGACTGTCCACCGCGGCCTCGTGACCTGTATCCCCCGTCACGGTTTTGATCGTAGCCGCCGCGCCAAGATCCACCGCCACCGCCGCCTCGATCTCGGTTAAACCCGAACCCACCGCTTCTGTCTCTGGATCCGGAGGACGTTCTGTCGTCGTGACCTAAAACAGAGAGACTCGGCTCTGAACGCATTCTAACATGTAACCTTCCGACTTCTACACTGAAACAACTGAACCATAGTCTAAAGTCAGTCAGTCTACAGTGATACATATATCAGAGGAAAGATACAATACACAGCATTTTTTGTGTCTGCTCATTCTTAACTTAAGTGTTCAGATGTTATGCTGCTGTGCATAACTGCATCTGTTTCAGATCATGCAGATAGCAGCCACCTGAGCAGGCCCGGCCCAGGCCTGGAATGGTTCGCTAATCATATCATGTCTGCCTTTCATCATCAAAAAATTTCATCTGTTATTCTATGATCTATCAATCTAAGGGTAACAGATGCATGACACATGATACCAACTTCAAGAACCTCTAGTTTATATAATAATGCCTGCTTGGCCAAAGGAACTAAAATTTATAAATTATCCTGTGAAAAATATATAATTTTCTCTGATAAGTTACCACCAATATGAGCCGCATATGTTCAGCAAGGTCTAGTATTCTTGACAGAAAATTGTGAAGGAACATAAGCTGGAGTCTTAATCGTTTGAATATAAAAAGCGGAACTATGAGTATGAATCGTTTATATATGTTGGGACTTTCCATCCAAAATATTTCAAGATGCCCCCCTCCCCCAAGCCTGGATATGTGTCTGCATCTGATGATGTGATACTATGTCTACAGTCTTGCCGATAATAAGGTTTAACAGCACATCGTCTTACCAAAAAAGCTTCTGCTTCCGTCTCTCGATGTCGTGACTTTGAACGTGTCTTCTAAAGCCCGTCCGAAGAGACCTTTGTGCGCCATTTTCTTCCACACATGCACCGACCTCTTTCTGCAGACGGTAGGTAGTGGCGGACCAATCAGGAGGCGTAGTTTGAGTCACGTGACTAATGTTGTGTACGTAGCAGAGATGAATCATGAGATGTCAGCTCACAGTGGGACATCCCCAGCTACACCTGGATTTTATCAAACTAGTCTCAAACAGACCTCTTGGGGTGCCCGAAAAACATAAATCTCCAAGTAAATTCTGTGGGGCATGGATTGTTGCCAATGGAGGGGGTGAAACTGATAAAATCTTGGGTGTTTTATCTAGCTTAGTATCCATCCACAGTATTTCTCTTTTACCAGGTCAGAAATTTTGGAAGAAGTTGCTTTCCTCATCATTCTTACTCTCATGTTGTTCAGTCTCATGTGACTGAATGATTCCAATGACCTTCAAAGTATTTTTTATATATCCCTGTTAACCACTGCAAAGCAGTTATATTTTCACTTCTACAGTAGTTCTACTATATTAAATCTCTTCTGTGTCTCAGCTGCATTCAGTCATTCTTATTCCACTGAGCTCCCATAGTCATATTCTGTACTTACTGAAATAACCAGGCAACATGCAAAGGTATTGATTGAACCTTCTCGGTTCTGCAAAATTGAGATTCTTCCAATCAACCGAGTAACTTGATTAAACTTTGTAACATACTTTT